TTTTTTTTTTTTTTAAGATTAAATATCATGGCTGGACTTGTAATAGCTGTATTACATTGAGTCTTGGATCATAATTTTTTTACCCCATCTCTTGTTTGGGGTCATTAAGTTCTTGATGTTTTTGATAGTACAAATAGCACTCTGATGAATATCCCATGGCTAAATCTTTATGCATGCCCATGACTATTTTGGGGTAAGTTTGAAGAAATGTCATGAGTATGCACCTTCTGTTTACATTTCCGTCCAGAAATGTTCCAGCAACACTCCTTCCATTGATATATGAAAACCTCCACTCACCAGATCTTTGGCAATGCTTGAGGTTATTAAAAAAAATGCTTTCTGGCTATTGGATAGGCAAAACAACATAATTATTATTATCATTGTAATTATATGTAATTTTGCTATTTATTCCACATTTATTTGAACACCAGTGACCTTGAACTCTTTTTCCCTTTTTTGACATTTGATTTTCTTCTTTTATGATTGTTAGGCTCCTTGCTCTGGTGATCAGGGGAAACTTCCCTTAGGATGGAAATGAAGAAGTCATTACTGGGGGCTCTGATTGTGCCAGTTGGCAGCAGAGTGACTCGGTGACCTCATTTACAAACTGGGAGTGGTGATACCTGCATCCTGGTACCTTGAGATCCAGAAATGTTCCTTATAATGTCCTTAGAAATATCATGCACTATATAGTATAGATCTTTCTGGCTGTGTGACCTTGGGTAGGTTCTCTAACCTCTCGGGGCCTCCGTGTTCTCAACTGTAAAATGGGGATAATTATAGACTCTATGTTAGGGAGCTTGCCATGGGAGGATTAAGTGAGTTAGTATATAAGGAGTACTTAATGCCTGGCATGCTGGGAGGTCCATAAATCTTACCAGTTTTAATCTGTGTTGGGTCTTTAAGATCTGCTATTAGGGAAACCAATAGTGCTTGCCTGGGATGGGTAGATTCTTAGCACGTCAGGGCTGCAAGACCCTTATAAAAATCACTTCCCTCACATAGACCTGGCAGATTTAAGCCAAAGCAGGCAAGGAATTCACCCAAGGTCACCCAGAAAGTTAGCAAGTGTGGCGGGACTAGAACACAGTTCTCCTGATACTGCCCCACAAATATTTCATCCCTGGCCTGTTGTAAGGCCTAAATGTCTGCCATTTGAGTGACTTCTCAGGGATTATGGAAGTCTGCCATGGACTAGAACATGTTTACCTAGTGGAGGACGTGTTTACCTGGAACAGAGAGCTGGGATGCATCCAGGGCATGCAGGAAATGGTCCTCTCCCGGGCAGTCAGCATATGGGCAGCCTCCTCTCCTTGACCCAGGGCATCTCAAAGGCTCTGGGAAGGGGACAGGTACCAAGTCTTCTTACTATCTAGACACGGTCGTGGGAGACCTTAGCCTCAGCATCCCCCCTCAAACCCCAGCCACACACCCAAAGAGCCTCCTAACCATCCCAATGTCTCCAGCCTGGCAAGAACAGCTCTATTTACCAGCCTCAACCTGCCAGTCCAAGGCCCGGCTGACCACAGGAGACATCTTGCTCAGCTCTGAGTGAAGCTCAAACTTCTTCTTCCTTGCCCCCCCGCCCCCAGGTGCTCCCAGAACGTGATGGCGGGGCAGTTGCTCTCAGAGCTCTTTACCAACAGAAAGGAGAACATTGCTTTCAAGTTTTCTGAGGACTGCCTTTACCTAAATATTTACACTCCCGCTGACTTGACAAAGAAAAGCAGGCTGCCGGTAAGTAGAAGGTTCCAGCGCTGCGGGTCTTCTGGTGTAGACTAGAAGAGGGTGAAGGCAGCTTGGGTGGGGGTTGTTTCAGAGACCCCAGGGCTTCCTTTTCCCACCACAGCCAGACCTCAGTTTCCCCTGGTGACAGACCTCTGGGGGAATTTGCTGTACATCTGTCATGCGCATTGTAATTTTTCCAAATTGTTTCTTGATAATAAAAGGACCAAAATGATTACTCTTAGAGATAAGCCAGTCCTTCCTTTACAGGTAGAAAGACTGGGGCCCGGAAAGGGGGAAGTGAGATCACACGGTGGGATTGGCAGGACCAGAGCAGAGGCCTTCTGAATTTCAGACCAAAGCTCTTTGACACAGACTAGGAAGCGAGCCTGTGGGAGGCCTTTCCTCAGCACAGTAAGATGCTCCTCTAACAACTTCCAGGGTCTCCTGAGAGGTGTTAGGGGCAGAGCCTGGGGCAATCCAGGAAGTGCATTCTTTTGCCTCTGGCCAAATATCTGGGATTTTATTGTAGCTTATTTCCTTCCTTAATTAAGTCTTTGGCACGGCTGATGACCCGATGAGTCAGCATTTCTAGAATAAAGGAGGCCCCAGAGATGGAGCAATTTCCAGACTCAGGCTGGGGCTTGGAGGAGATCTCCTGGAAAAGGAGGTGATCCCCGGGGTGGAGAGGTGTGGGGATGTTCACACCCAGCCATCTCCTGGCAGGATGCCCAGGAGTGGGGGAGGGCATCTGTGAACTTGTGAGCAGAAGCTAGCACTGCCCATGCTTGGCTCAGTGAGAGGGGACCAAGTTTCACTCAGTCCTCCATTCACACATTCTTCTGTTATGTACTCAGTGCTCCCACATGCATAGCTGCAATTGGGGGTCAGAACAAAGGAGGGACCAAAAAAAAAAAACCCATCACCAGACAACCATTGCTTTGGAGGGTCTTACCATCTGGGATGCTTCTTCAGCGAATCCCTGCTGACCAGCCCTTGGCTCAGCCTTCCCTCAGATGACTGCTAACTCCGTCCCTCCACCCAGACAGGCAAGGATCAGAGGTGGAGGAGGAACAAGGGGAGAACCTCTATTTATGGACACAGGCTCTGAACTACAGAGTCTGGGCTTACATCCCGGTTCTGCCTTTTACTAGCAGAGAGACCTGGCTCTGTTTCCTTAGAACAGGGCTAATCACATGTGAGCATCCAGTGGTGCGTATCAGGCTTTGTCTAAGTGGCTGGCGAGTGCACAAGGCAAGTCTTCCTGAAGCATTAGTTAGAGTCCGAAGGAAGATCTTACTCCTCTCCTAACACCAGGCCCACTGCACCCTGGCCAGTGGCTGCAGCGGGCTGGGTGGCTCAACAGGTGGTCTCCAGAGCCAGACCGAGTGGGTTCAAGTCTTACTTCTGCGGCTTAATAGCTGTGCGAACTCAGGCAGGTTTCTTGTCTGATAATGGGACAGTATTAGTCCCTATGACATGAAATGGTACTTGGCACACAGTTTGTGTTACAAATTCTTTTTTTTTATGAATAAAATGATTACAACGTAATTATTTTAGCCACTCTTACTTCCTGGCTACGTGAGCTCTTACAATGCCAGAGCCAAGCGTGATGAATTCCTATATCCACCCTCATCCTCAATTCTTACCGCCGTCTCTGGCATAGAGTAGGTCCTCAGATCCCTATTAGTGAGATGATTGAAGACTTACTTGAGGAGGTGGCTTTTAGGCTAGGCTTTGGAGGATGGGTGGGACTTGGGGATGCGGAGGAGGCAGAAAGGACGGGATATTCAGAAGAGACCCCAACAGTGGCACGTGTGCTTCTCGAGACGGTCACTCGGGCATGTGCGCAGTTTAAGTCATAGCACAAGACGTAACTAAGATGAAGCCGAAGCACAGGGCTGTGGCGGGCAGAGTTTGCCGGGCTGCAGGAGGGGCGATGGGAGGAGTGTTGGGGAGACGACACCCTTAGCCGTGACTGTTCCCATGATGAAGTTGTGAAGTTCATTGGCACTGGGGCTGGGGACACAGGCGGGGGCAACCAGGGTGTCCTGGCTGGGGTGTTGGCCTGGGCCCCATGTGGGAGGAGCAGGGAGAAGAGCGGCTGCCTGCTCCAACTTTGCTGGTGGACTTCCGGTAATGGCCAAGGGGTCGGTGACCAAACCAGACAACCTCTTGAGGTCCTGCCCAGCGCAGCTTCCTCTAACCAGTACGGTTGCTTCCTTCCTGTCCAGGTGATGGTGTGGATCCACGGAGGGGGTCTGGTGGTGGGCGGAGCGTCAACCTATGATGGGCTGGCCCTCTCTGCCCATGAAAACGTGGTGGTGGTGGCCATTCAGTACCGCCTGGGCATCTGGGGATTCTTCAGGTAAGATTCTGCACAGTCCTCACTGCACATTGCCCCACCCCCCCACTCCCAAAGCAATCCCAAAGGGATCTTTGCCAGGCTCCCTAGGAAAGCACCCAAGTCCCTTCATCACAGGGCTCGACTTACCTTCTCCATCCCCAGCCACACTGGGCCACTTGCTTCTGAGCTTTTGTAGGTGCTCTTCCCTCTACCTGGAATGCCCGTTCTACCTGACGAACTTCTATTCATTCTGCAAGGCCCAACCCAAATGTCACCTCCTCTGAAATGCCCCTCTCTTTTTCACTTGTGCTATCCCAGCACTTTGTGCACCTCTGTCAAGACAGCATACAGCACAGCACTTAGAGGCTTACGCATCTGACCTGGTAGGAAAGGAAAGAAGGAGCTTACTCATGGCAGGAGCTCAGTGCATTCTTATGGGTGAAGGAACGGGGTGTCTGGAGCTGAAGATTGTCAGAGCATCCGACCCCAGCCGACAGCCCTCCTGGGAGGCATGTCAGACCCACTCATCCCATTTCCTTTGGGGAATTTGGCACACACATGAGTGAAGGCAAAGCATCTTTTGCAGTACATGTCCATGGGGCAGGAACCAGTGCTCCCTCAGGACACAGTTACTGTGAGCCTTTTCGGAATTTGCCAGCCACAGCACCTCCGATCCTGGGATGGCTGCTGGTGGACTGGGGGAGGGTGGACTTCTCACAGGACAGACCCCCGGGGCTGGAGGAGGAGGATTATCCCAGGCGTGTCCTGTCCCGGGGTGTATCGCCTTCATGGAGACCCCTCTTCTCTCCCACCTGTGGCCCGTCTCTCTGCTCCCCATTATGGTCAAGCTGCTACATGAAGCTTCCCGAGGCTCCTCCTCCCACTCTGTTCTCTGCCCAGTGACCCAACAGCTTTTGGGCCAACCTTGGGAGTAGCCACACACAATTCCTCCCATGTGATCCTCTGGCCTCTGTGTGCATCTCTCTCTCCATCTTCACTGGTTCCCAGGTGACCTCAGGAGCCACATTCAAAGCTCCCTATTTCAGCCCCTGCTTCTCCTTTGAAGCCCAGATGTACCTCATTAACTACGACCTTGCACCTGTTGCCGCCTCCACTGGACGTCTGAAGGGGACTGCACCCTCCTTGGGGACAGACTCAACCCTCGACTCCCACTGGACTTTCTTACTTTGCCCGCAGCGCCTCCTGTCGGCTGCTGGCAGCACCCCCTACCCCCAGCTGCTCCGGATAGACTTGTGGTCAGCCTTGGCCTCTTTTTCTTACCTCTTCACATCAGAGTCAGCAAATCCTCTTGGTTCCACCTTTAAAATATATTCAGAATCCAACCACTTCTCACCTCCTCCCTTATGCCCCCTAATCAAAGCCCTCCGTGTCTCTCTCCCAGATGATTGTAATAACCACCTACTTTTATAATCTGCTACTTTGATGCTGTGTCTCATCCACACAGTAGCCACAGTGACCATTTAAGACATAAATGGAATTTTGTCATTGGCCCTGAAATGGCTTCCCATGTTACTAACAATGACATCAAAGTTCTTACCAAGGCCCACAGAGTCTTTTAGCTGCATGTACTACACTCAACTTTTGTCCACTAGACCCCAGGACCTTTGAACTGGCTGTTTCTTCAGCCTGGAATTCCCTTCTTCACATATTTGCAAGGCTCATGTACTCATTCTTTCGGGTCTCTATTCAAATGCTACCACCTCAAAGAGGCCTTTCTTGGTCATGTGATCTGAAATAGGACCCCACTGCTCCACCCCTGTCTTTTCCCTTACCCCATTTTACTTTTCCTAGAGGTACTTTCACTACCTGACATTATTTTCTGTATTTATCTGTTTGTTTGTGATCTGTAGTGTGAGCTCTGTATAGTCAGAGATTTGGACTGTTTTGTTCTCAAATGTGCTCCTAGCTTTTAGAACAGTGTTTTGCACAAAGTGCTCCTAGCTCTTAGAACAGTGCTCTGCGCAAAGTAGATGTTCAGTAAATAGATGCCAGTTGAGTAAATGTAGCACCCTAGAACAGAACAATGCTACAGGAATGGAAGACAGAAGACCCTTGTGTCAATGCTGTGGAAGGCTGGTCTCTTTCTAGAAGGCTCACCGAGAGCCCCCATCCCCATCTATGGTCCTGAGAACCCTGCCATGTGGTCTGTGCTCCCACCCCTGCCCCATTCTTACAGCACAGGGGACGAACACAGCCTTGGAAACTGGGGTCACTTGGACCAGTTGGCTGCACTTCGCTGGGTCCAGGAGAACATTGCCAACTTTGGAGGGAATCCAGGTTCTGTAACCATCTTTGGAGAGTCAGCGGGAGGTGAAAGCGTCTCTGTTCTTGTAAGTGTTCCTGGCCCTGATATGGCTGCTGATGGGACCCCTTGGTGCCTTTGGACCAACTGGCAGCTTTACTTACAAGACCTGGATTCAGTGCTGACCCTACTCTGCACAGCATCAGTTGGTGGAGAGCTAATGGCGGAACTATCCTTGGCCCCCAGGAGGCTCAGAGCCTAGGCTAGCATCCTAGGGCCTTGAGAATCTCTGGCCACAGCTACAGCAGGATACTCCTCCTCCTCTAACGTGGTTGAGCTCTCTCTCTCTCTCTCTTTCCTGCTCGTTTTAACATTAGGACTTGCTTCACTTCTCCTGGCAAGTAGGAGTGGGTATAGATTATGCGTAAGAGTTGGACAAAGTGTCATTGCTCAGCTGGAAGCCAGGTCTGCAGGTCAAGAGACACCAGCACCAAGAACAGGTCAAGGGCCTCCCGTGAGGACAGCCGCCTCCGGGACTGAGACGTGGAGCTGGGCTGGGGGTGGGGGCAGGGAGGGACGGGGAGGCATGGGGCAGTGGTGTGGGCACCTGGGGCTCCTGGGAGCCTGGTGTGGGGAGTGGGGCTGGGGGAGCCACTGAAGGCAGCAGGGATGGAAACCAGATGAGGAAGTCCTGGGAGCCATAAAGCACCCTCCAGCCCCCCACTGTTGAGCAGAGGGTTGGTGCTATTACTGTGTTTTTAACAATATATGTATTGGTTTCCTTGTCCAATACTCAGAGGGAAATGTTTTTATATCTTATCAAGTGGAGAAAAAGGAAAAGTACAGATAAGCCCAAAGAAGAAAAGAGTCCTCCATAGTCCCATTACCCAGGGAAGCTCACCATGGACAGTTTGAGACTTATTTTTCTAGTGTTTTCCCCATGACTCACTCCTGTCTCTCTATCTATCCATCTGTCATCTGTCTATCTGTCTTAAGACTTTTTTTTTTAAGATTTTGTTTATTTAAGAGAGAGAGTGAGAGAGA